CGAAGCGCTGCAGTACTTCCAGACAGCCGACCTCTCCGAGTGCAGGGTACGGGCAGGGCCCCGCGCTCTCGCCCTCTCTCGGGGGGGGGTAGTTTTAGTAAGTAGGAGAGGGGAGCGCGGCGGGAGAAGCGCAGCGCTCCCCTCTTTCCCTTCCGCCTCCCCTCGGCTCGGCTCTTCGCGTGATCCCGTCCCCTCCCGGCTCGCCCACGGGTTTTTCTTCTGCCTGATTCCCCGAGGGACCGGCCCTGATCGTTTCTTTGCGTGTTTTCTCCTCCGCAGAAGAAGGTCCGGGCGACGGTGCGCAGGCGAGGCCTGGCTGCTCTGGTTCGCTTCCTCTTCGGCCCTCCCCGGCTCCAGCCGCAGCTGCAGGGAGAGCGGGAGCTGGCTCTGGCCATGGCGCAGTGTGAGTGTCCCCTCCGCCCCAACGCGAGCCGCTGGCCCGGCCGGCGTCGCCTTTATCGTGAGAGGTTTCGCGGGGAGCGACTCGAGGGGGGCTCAGGGGGGTAGCGGGGTCTCTGCCCGCTTATCCCCTGGCAGCTGCTTGTCCCAAAGGACGCCTTCGCTGTCTCCTTTGCTCCCCTGCTGCGGACGTACTCGCTTTTGGCGGGGAACGATGGATCTCTTGATCCCTTTCCGTCGTGCCACAGCGGCCGTTCCACGTGTAGACCTTGACACGGCACCGGGCGGGTGCTCCACGGCTCTCCAGCCCTTCCCGCTCCTCGTTTCGTGACCAAACCAAACAAGACACGAATCCTCCCGCTACCTTGGCGTGATGTGTTGTCCTTTCTGGCTGTCCTGCGGCGGAATTGCACGTGCTGAGCGCACGGAAACTCCTCGCCTGTGGTTTGCGGTTGGTCGTGGTGCCCTGGGCAGCGCTGCTTCAGCCAGCAAAACTTCACCCGACGCCCGAATTACTCGTTATCCCCCACGCTCATGCGACACACGGTCGTATGATTTGCGTTTCTGTGCCTCTAGGGCTTTTTTTTTTCCTTTTTTTTTCCCCCTCCTCCTCCCCTTCTCCCCTCCAGCAGGATAAAGACGGCCGGGACGTTCTCCTTGTCGCCGTAAGCCGTTCTCGGCTGCGGGATTTCGTTTCCAGCTGGACTTCTGGCTTTACCCTGCAGCTGGTGGTGGTTTCTTTCCCCACCGCGTCTGCACCGGCGCTTGAGGGCAGCGGGGCAGGGGTGCCGAGGGGTGTCTTCTGGGTGCCGAGGGGTGTCTTTTAGATGCCGAGGGGTGTTTTCTCTCCGCCAGGTGGTTTGGATGATAACGAGAGGGTGCACGTGAGAATCCTGCAGACCATTTACAAGAAGCTAACCCGCTCCAGGCTGGGCTGCCCGCGCTACGGGGCGCACTGGGAGGAGCTCGGCTTTCAAGGTAGGGCAGAGGGAGAGGCCTCTGGAGCAAACCTTTGCCGAGAGAGAGATCGCGCTGGTCCCGTTCCCTCCTCCGGAGGTGGGATCCAGAGGCAGCGCAAAGGCTTTGCTGCCCATTCCCTCTCCCTTCACGCAGCCGCTGTCCCCGCTGCCGTTTCATAGAATCGTTTAGGTTGGAAAAGACCTTTAAGATCGTGGAGTCCAACCCTTAACCCAGCACTGCCAAGTCCACCACTACACCGTGTCCCACAGCACCTCATCTACGCGTCTTTTAAATACCTCCAGGGATGGGGACTCCACCACTTCCCTGGGCAGCCTGGTCCAATGTTTCACCACTCTTCCAGTAAAGACATTTTTCCTCACGTC